ATAGGACAAGGGGTAATGGGTTTAATTTAAAAGAGGGTCGATTTAGATTAGATGTTGGAAAGAAACTCTTTACTGTTAGAGTGGTGAGGTACTAGAACAGGTTGCCCAGAGAGGTTGTGGAGGCCCCATCCCTGGAAGTGTTTAAGGCCAGGTTGGATGAGGCTTTGGGCAACCTGGTCTAGTGGAGGGGGTCCCTGCCCGCAGCCGGGAGTTGGAACTAGATGATCTTTAAGGTCCTTTCCAACTCAAACCATTCTATGATTCTATGAATTTTTTTGCATTTGAGGCATTAATACCTAGATGAAGCACAGATCTCATGGGATTGCAGTCTTCTTCAGGAGACTGTTACTAGGCTGATCGTCATATAAGATCTTTCTTTCCGTACCAAGTTCTGTAATCCAGGAAGGAGAGACAGTTCCAAGACTATTTCTCGTCTGTTAGTGAGGCAAATATCCATTGATGTCAGAGATTTTGATTCAGTAAAAAATCACAGGCTTTTAGTTTCTACCTTCTAGAAACGATTGTATTTTCACTGTAGCACTAGAAAAAGTGTTAAAATCAGATTCTTTCTCTGTTCATCGTATTAAATGGAATAGCCACTAGGTCTTATGCTTTCATAAATGCTTTGGAAACATATTAAGTAGTGCCACTTTTAGCATGCATGAATTACTAATGAGAATGGGGTTTAGGGAAGCAGTTAACTAAACCTGCACTGTTGAGCATTGTTTTGCCATTTAGGAAATAGTTCATCAATGCCGCTCTGCTAAATCCATTCTATAATATCTGTGGGCAGTAATGTGTGGAGAAATTAATCTCAAAGGGAGAACATTTTCTTGGCACTGTTACTGCTTTCCTTTTTGGTAGATAAATGGTCAGCTGTGTTGTTATCTACCCTAATGTCATCCTCTAAGTGCAGCACAGTTGTTCTGGCTGCTTTATGAAGTCCCCGAGTCTATTGACTTCAGCGTGTGATTTGTCAGCATCTTACTCTTCCCCAGCTCTCCCAACACCACTGAGGCCTCTGAAATGGCTCGCACTGGTGCTCCCAGGTTGTGTGATGACCAAGCATTTGATGTGAAATGCAGATTGTAAAGGAGTCTTTCCTCTATAATGGGAAGGGGCTGGTGTGATTCACAGGGGACTAGAAAGGAGTGAGGTCTCAATTCTGAGCACAGTTCATCCTCTGACCATGAAAGTGCCCATCCCCCTGCCTCCACCCTTGCAGTTCTGTCTGTCTGTCAAACCCTGGGTCTTCCAAATGTTAATTGTACGCAGTTTTCCCACTGCCCTTAGCCGACTAGTGTATATTGGCAGGGAGCAAAACCTGAGACGCTCTCACTCATGTCAAAATCTCTTAAAAATTCGATGACATGCTGTCCTGCTGCTGCAGAGACTTTCTAAAAGCCTGTGCCGCACAGTTAGCATGCCATGCATGAGGAGGTGTTGCGTAGAGGCTACAGGATTACTAAGTCTCTTTGAGCAGGGCTGTGGCTTACCCTATGCCCTTGAATCCGGAATGGTGATCCTTTTTCCCATCTTTTCTCCTATGCAGTGCCAGTTTGTTTGGCAAAACCACCACGTACTTAGGCTTTTACATCTTACAATCTCTCCTACCTCATTCAAGCTAAATTCTGCTTAGGATTTAATGGACTCTGGATGGCTCAAACTCATAATTCTCAAAAAATAACTAGGCACTTATTTAAACTTTAATATTAAAGCTAAGGTACCCTAGATTAAGAGCTTCAGATAAGATCTAAAATAACTATAGTTTTCACCTGGTGTGATAGATAGCATGTGTGTCTCTTCACTTTCTACTACTGTTATGTTAAATGCATGCAGTTGTCACTTTTGGTTTTATCTAGGCTTTTGGTCCTTGCTTTAGGACTTACTGTTTTATTTATCTATAAAGTGTCTAGAACTCTTGTTGCTATATAACTAATAAAATAATAATATGAACTGTGATTTTCATTGTAGGATTTCATATTTTGTTGCTTCAGAATGAATAATTTAGTAGTAAGCTGTGAAAACCCATTTAAAATTACTTTAAAAAGCAAGGGATCATGCAAACCACAAGCCACATCTACATCAGGTATTTAAACAAATACCTGTTTTATAGGTTTTCTTTTTTCGTATTTTTCTGGTTTATAGCATGCAAAATGCCTGAAATTTGGTGGGTTTTGACTACTGTGAAATAAAACTAAGTCTAAGCAGTATTTCAAACAGCTGCTGAGAGTGGCATAAGTCCAAAATTGGAGCTTACAATTCAGAAGGAAATACTAGTAACGAACTTCCCCATAATAGCTGGCATCATTTTTTGCATGTCTCTCTGCTATCAGTGTGAATTTTGCCTCATATTGATTTTGTTTAGTGTTAAGAGTTCTTTCAAAAGTGCCACCACTCTGTAATTATTATCTACCTCCAGGAAATTGGCTTCCAATGTCAATGGAAAACTTTAATACCTATGTTACAATGTCTGCAAACCTGAATGTTGGAAATGCTGCTTGCTGACTCACTGTTTTAATCAATGGCACAAGACTCATAGAATCCAGGCATCTTTTTGGTACCTTGCTTAGTTACTGATTTCCTTTTGAGCTGAGAGTACCTGTACATATTTCCTAATCTTCCCCTTAAGTAGGGGTACAAACAGTTATGAAGATGCTTTCCTAGCAATGTTATTCCTTGCTGGAATCCCTGTAGCATTACTGTTTGAGCTTGGTAGGCAAGTGGATGATTTCATGAAAACATTGTAAGTAAAGCTTTGTACCTAATAATAATATTGGAAAGATTACCAGCTGCTTAATTAAGACTGGCATTTCAAACTTGGCTCCCACATTAAATCACTTTTTTTGTTCAGATTTGAACTTGTCTTGCTTGAGGATGGGAAGAAGGGAGAAGGAAATATTGGCAAGGAATAGTTAGTTTTACTGGTACCTGTGTAGTCAATCATCTGCCTGTAAAATTGCTTTAGAAGCTACAGCCCTGTTGCTCATTTGTGCTAGTACTGGGCATGAAATGAATGGACAACTAGTTTTGTTGTTGTTTTTTTAAGAGGTTCAATGTTTTATTTTTACTAGATTTTCCTTTATGAATTTATAAATATGACAGTATCCTTGCTGCAGCTAGCAAACAGTTGAAGTGTAAGAAATGGGTAAATAAAACATGGGCACTAGCAATGTGAATGCATGTTCTGGAGTCGCAGTTTGCACTGTGCAGGTCTTCACTCTGTTGCAGTAGGCATGGTGGGACAGAGAGCAGTCCTGCCTTCGTGTCAGCTTCCTCTGGGGCTGGGGCTGGCCATCAAGCCCAGGCACCAGTCTGTTTGTCTCACCTTCAGCAGTGCTCTGACTTGAAATAGAATACTTATGGTTATCTTTTGGGTTGTCAGGCTTTATTCTAACATTCCTAATTCACACTGATTGTTATTTTTTACTTGTGGAGAACATCAGCCTTTGATATTGTACTCTATTTAGAGATCAGATTTCAGGTCTTAAAATGTTCTAGGAAATGAATGTTGTTCTCAGTTCCAGTATTCCAATCACAAACCACAATTGAAAGGAAGAGCCACTTCAGTGCATAATCATACTCCTGGGTGCCGCTGAATGGACAAATCATGCTTCCTTAATTAAGAAGTGATAATATCACTCTTTGGTAATGGAGCTGAACGTTACTGTCATCTAGAATTTAATTTGCTTAAAGACAAAAAATTTTCCACCAGCTTTGTAGTTTTGATCCTGTTACTGGGCTGACTATGGTGACTGTCTTAACAGTTTGCTTGCTTCTGTATATTCAAAAACTTAGTTATTGGTTTAATGTCAATAAATATCACACTTTTTGCTCTTGAACAGTTTAAAGTGAACAGGATTTTATTTTTCTTATGTGTAATTAACAAAAAAGTTAGTAATTGCTGTAACTGCAACTCCCATTAAAGACAAAGGGAATTGTCTGTGAATATCCAAGGGTAGAATTTTGCTTTAAGCTATTGTTCTGTGTCTGAATTCAATAAAGTTCCAGATTTGTGACTCTAATTCATGCTAATGAAAACAGGAGTGGTCTCATGTTAGAAAATACTACTAAATATTGAATGTGTGGAGTATAAAATACTACTCAGCGTTATACAATCTGTCATGTGGTTGGTAAACTATTTAGTATTTTGGAACACATTTTTTTTTTTTTTAAATGCTTTCAAATGAGAAATCTTTTAAAAATGGTTTTTATACTTCTAATAAAAAGAATTTTTTTTTCTAATGTTTGGAATTCTACCTTAAATTATGTAGAACATTCTAAATGCCATTAAAAAGGAGGGAAGATACATTTCACAGATAATGAACTCACAGCACCGTATGAAACATGAGGCAGGAAACGTAAGACAATAGCAGAGTCTCGTGATGTGAAAATCTTCAAAGGGAAATATGCAAATTCAGTTAGGATATGTAAGGAAAGATTAAAGAAGATCTAAACTTCTGAATCAGTTACCACAATCTGACTTGCTTCTATTTTCTTGTAGAAGGGTTAGGGCTTTTTTCTGTCAGTTGTTGCTCTGATAATTTTTCCAAAGTAATTTCCTTTGTCCCTTTAATGTCTTGATAATTCATCAAAAAAACCCACACATAGTTAATAAAATAAAACATCATTAGAAGCACAACATGCAGTCAGTGCTTTAAACAACAACAGCAGGATGCAGAAAATACCGATCTAAGGCAGAAACAGCAAACAGCCTTAGACAAATAAATGTATTTTGGGGGAAGGAGTTGGAATTCTTATGGTAAATCAAGTTGGTTAAAAAGGGAAGTGTGCCCGAGAAAAGTCACCAGGTTCTTTCATGTAAATGTTTGGGAAATTGTGAGATATGCTGTGTTTCCCTCCAGCCCCGATAACTACTTCAGACAAAATACTTATCTGAGTAAAAGGAGAGTTATTGATGTTTTCCAGATAGATACTATAACATTAAATTAACTGTTGAATAACCTATTCACTGTTTCTTTTATTTTGCTTTTCTGTAGACAAAACATGGATGCACACTCCTGAAGCCTTATCAAAGCATTATATTCCCTATAATGCAAAGGTAAGAAAATACGAAGTTATTTTGTCCTCTTACCTTTAGAACACAGTGCGTTCTATATTGTTTTTAATTTGAAAACTGCAGATGTGAATTAGCCAAATGAAACAGCATATAAAAACTTAGCAAATGACTGTTTTGCAGATGAAAACTTTCTATTTCTTAAATAATAGCCATTTGATTCTTGTTCTGAATCATTTGATGGTTTTCTAGAAAGTAAACCAGTGTTTGTCTTCTGTTTGGTGCTCGGTTTCCTTTTAATGGATGCTAAATGGATGGAAATTTTGAGTGCAAAGGAATTTAACATCAGGCTGCATGCTTACAGTACTAGGAAAAATTAAAATTAATAGCACAAACGTCTTTGAACAATAGCAAAGGCAATGAATAATGATCCTTTCTGCTGGATATATTGAAATGTCAAATACTCTGGATATATGGTAGAATAATAATGGAAATTTTGCATGGTAAAAAAAGAAGTCTTACTCATTCTTTCTTATCCCAGTTACAACGCAGTTCTACAATAGTATTTCAATTAGTCTAATGATACCTGTTCACAGGAAACGCATCTTCCTAAATTAACAACTTAGAAAATGGTTTGCTATGAGGAGGAGGTAATACGCAGTAATCAGCATAACACAGAGTAAACTGAGTAATCAGCTATTACTTGCCTAAACTGGGAGGATAATTCAATAAGATTTCCACCATAGTCTGTTCTGATTAAAGTTCTTGTATGACTGGTATTTTTTAATATAAAAATAAAAAATATTTCACAGACTGGGACTCAGTTTCCTATACTGGTGTTCCCTGCTGTTGAGTTTGCAGTTTTCTTTTGCTTAGTATTGCTACACAGTGAACAAGTGTTTGTAGTGGAAATTTGACTCTCATTCTGCTAGTTGCCAGGTGAACATATTTTATTCTGTGTGCTCTCAAACTGAATTTTTGACCAAAGGATGTGTTGCCATTTAACTCTGTAGCCTTGCCAGACACCTTGGCTTTTATATTACTGTTTTTGAGAGGGAGGAGTACTTGCTGGGGTGACTATGACATCTGTTTTAAGAGCAAGCTGAAGCTATGAATTCCATTAATGTACTGAACAATGTCTGTTCTTTTGTGGTCTTTAAGAGAAAAACAAAACCTCCCTCATCTTTCATGTCTCATTGTCTGTCTTATGAGCATGTATTGTGAATAGGTGTCAGTACAGCTATGCAGAAAAAAATTTTATAATAAAGAAAACCATAGAAACTTCAGCATCAGCTACTTCGGGAGTAGAAAAAAGGAATGGGGAATTTCTATCCAAAGGAAGTTGATTTTCAGCCTTGTTAGAAAGGCTCTTGATCTGAAAGACTCTTCCCTTTTATTTAGGCTGATATATGTCCAAGTGTCTCCTCCAGTTCTGCTCCTGTTTAATGTGGGTTCTGACCTTACAGGGCCTCCTCGACTTCCGTGCTGTTGGCCTCTGGGATCTGTCAGAATACTTGCAGGAAGCTGCGATGTGCTATAGCATATGCTTTTTTTGTTTTGTTTTTGTCTGGGTTTTTGGTTTTTTTAAGTTTACCCATTTTTTCATTTGGAACACAGTAGAAAATTGATACATTATTTCAAAGCAAGAATAAAATTGCTCTGCTCTGTAACTCGAGTGTAAAGGCTATGCGATTTCCACATTGTGGGGTTGTTTTGGTGGGGTTTTTTTTGTTGAGATCTGGATAAATTTGCATCGCTTTCATGAGGTTAGTTGGGATATGCAGACATAACATTATTAATTCTAGATGATGTTTCCACCTCAATTCTCAAGTACCATTTTCATTAATTTTTGCAATATTTTTCTTTTTAAGAGGAAAGCACGCATTTATTAGTACCTCATTTGGGTCTTGTAATGTTTTGATTTTTAACTAAAATATCCCATTGATTTCATATCTTGTAACTATATTGTGAAATAATGATTAAAAACTCAGAAGGCATTCATAAAGCAAGTATTGAAAAAGATTCATTGATTTTTTTTTCAGATGTTCATATTGTTCCACTTCCAATTATATAGCATTCTGTTCATATAACTTTTATATTTGTTGGGAGGAAAAGACAACATTTTATCTGATTTATTTCAAAAGGTAATTATGTGACTGAAGAATGACGTGTTCAGAAAATCAAATCAATTTGATGGAAAGCAATACCAGAGATGTTCTTTTTCCATAGGCAAGTGAGCTGTGTTCTGCTACATAGTTTTTTGAAAGCAAATTGCTGTGGATGAAAAATAGTATTTTCTTTTCTTTGTAAGACACAAAAATAATTTTTCTGACACTGATCTTCTGAGATGATGAGAAAAAGGAGAGCTTACTAAGAACAATTGGAAAAGACGAGATGTAGTTTGTTTACTTGATTCGTAAGACACATTTAAGAATTCAAGAAAGCTTGTTGATAAAATGCAGTTCATGAGTTGACTGTTATCTTATTAAAAAAATTCCTAGTAAAGTTAACTGGAAATTAAAAGAACCCTGCAACATAGACAACTGGCCTTTTTTCTACAAATTGGAGAGCACTGTTTAATAATGTCTTGTATCTATTAGGACATACACCCTCAGGGTGATCTATGGCAATAATCCTCTTTGCAAGAAAACATGAGCAGAGTTGTTTCTTCTGGAAGTAATACCCAGGAGCCACGAGTCTCATAAGGATGCCCTTAAATATAAAAGCATCTTGATTCTCTCTGTGCTTTCCAGCATACCCAGTCCTCATGGTACTTGCTATTTTGAAATATGCTGAGTTTTGGTATGGTTTGGTGTATGGTGTAAGTTGATGGGGGTCTGGGGTTTGGGGTTTTTTGTTGCTGCTGTTTTGTTTTGTGGTTTGTTTGTCTTTCTGGGTTGTTTTTTTTAATCTTGCTGATGCCCCTAGTCTTGGTCTTGCTGAAGGCACTGGTAATAAGACTCCACACATTTCAGTATGCGCTGGGGGTGAAATCTGAGCCTACTTAAGTCAGAATTTTGCCATCAGTTTGTGATCCTATATTTTTCTTGAATATATCATTTCAAATGAAAGCATATTTGTCATGTAATTTTTTTCCAAAAATATAATTCAGAATTTTGATAATATATTATCAAATACAGGTATATAGAACTCATTGAGATGCATTAGCATGGCAATTTTCATGTTAGCAGGATATAAAATGCTAAGGCAACCCAAAATTTCTCTTTTGTGTGATCTTTCTTTTGTAATGTTCCATAACTAAGAACAGATGTTTGTGTTGTTTTCCATACTGTAGGGGAAAACAGTTCTTTTGCCTTTAAGTTAATTCTCTTGATTTTAGGTCAGTTTCCTTTCTCCAAAACAAAAGTGGTCAAAGTGTGACTTCATAATGGAATCTGACTGCAACCTCAAAAATGGACTGATTTTTGTCATCATGTAACTGATACAATAATTAAAAGTTAAAAAAAGCTAATAAAAAGTTGCCGCTGTCCAAAGCAGCAACGTTTCCTATTGTGTCTTTGTATATATAATTTTATGTGTGTGTATATATATAAATATATATTTTCCCCTTTATAGTCACTTGAATATTTTTTGGCTTATCAAATTTCCACATGCTTACGTTTTCCATGTTGCAGATTAGAGGTTCTGCTTTGCAAGCCTGGTGTTTATGTTGGCTGCCAATATACTATGGAGTCAGTAGCTTTCCCCTTACACTAGGCTGAAGAGCTGCAATTTGACATAACGTCATGATGGCATGTTAAACCCTTGGGAGTTTAGTTTACCAAGAGATGTGATAACTTCCTAGTGGTGAGAGCGCTACGGTCCTAATGTTTACCTCAGACTTATTTTAAAACTTTGTATATTGTCATGTACATATCTATGATTCTTGATGAAGTTTACATTTGAAACTTTGAAGATAAATGACCAAAGCTTTCCCAAAAGACTGTTAAACATCTCTTCCTTTGCATTATTGTGGGGTTTTGATGACAATTAATTTTAAATTGTTGTGCAGTTTCATGGATGATCTTTCCTCTCAATTATTCAATATGTATCTTGCACCTGTATTGCAACTGTAGGAAAGGCAGGGGGGGGAAAAAAGTTAGTAATAACTACCCTGCAAAAAGACCTTGCTTGGCTGTAGCTAGTAGTATTAATCTTCACTGTAGTACAATAAAGAGAGTTTAGTTAAGTTTTCAACTTTATGTTATTTCTTATTCCTTCAACTTTTTATCATTGAGGAGTGGCAGGTAATACTTTTCTGGAGCAGGCATTTTGGACAAGAATTTTAGGTCAAAAATATCATGCTGCTTCTAACTGATGTAACTACCATAGCAGGGGTCTAGGTGCGATTATGTCTTTTGAATATCTGCATATGGCTATCGTTAGTATACGGTATTATCAAAGTCATGCTTTCATGGCATAAACTGCATTTCTACAAATTTTCATTGCTATAGCTATACTAGCATTTTCTCTTTTTCTATCCAGTGAGAATACTGCAGAATGATCATGGGTTTGTGTCAGTAAAAATAATTTGTAAAAGAATATCAAAGGGAAAATTGCATATGAATTTTCCAGGTAAACAGAGATAAAAGGCACACTATTAAAAAATATACTTAATTTTATGTGGTGAAGTTAGATATAGCAAGATATTCCAAACAGAGCACAAAATGTTGAAAATAAGAAACTAATGTAATAGAAGAGGGCATTACAAGAAATAATTAATTTTCCTACACTTAATTTATTATAATTAGAATTAATAACTTAATTCCAGTTAACTTTAATTAGAGTATCAAAATGTCTTGGATGTAATCATAATTAATTTAGTGTTTAAGCACAAGAAAAATGAATATTTTGAAAATATCCAAATGAAATATGAAAGCAGAAAATGAACATTTTACAGGGAAATGCAAATCTGAACTGTTATTTCTGATACATTACAATCATTAAACTGGGGGCTCATTATACCAAAGATGAATAATCATGTAAATAAAACATAAAATATTTACACTCTGCAAGGGGTACTGTCAACAGGCTTCTCTGCTTCA